TCCCTAAAAGGTGATGGAGCCAGATGTGAAAGCAAGTACTTCAACACCAGTATTTGAGCTCTAAGCCATCTGCAGAGACCTTGCTGAGAGCTAGATAAGTGTCTTCCAGTTGCTTATAAAGGTTTCTGACTGGTGGTATTATAGTAACAACTTAGAATTATAGCTGCAATATTACTGTGTGAGACAGAAGTTATATCAACATATTCATCATTTTTAGGGTTTCTTATCCCCTCCCAATATTAAAATGGCAGGAGAGAACACTAAACAGATGAATTCAGTTTCCCTTAGTAAATTGGTTTTCAGGCTGAAAAATGTAGTTCCTAAATGCATTTTTGTTTTTGTATGGTAACATGTAACATTTAAACTTTCTATCAGTAGTTAAATCCCTTTCACGTTTAAGAGTACGTGGAGAATTTGAACACTATTAGCAGGTTTCCATTTCAATTGGAACTGAAATGAAAATATTACGTGGGACGATTACACTAAAAAATGTCAATTACGCACATGTGCCACCTTAAACTATTCAATTTAATGATAATAAAAGTCCACCTTTTCTCAGAGCATTAGTTCTCAAGTGGGGGCAAAAAGAGAGTGACAATGTCTGGAGATGTTTTGGTTGGGTGAGTCTGCTAATGGCGTCCAGGGATGCTGCCAATCATCCTACAGAACACAGAACTGCCCCCATATGGAAAAATTATGCAACCAAAAGTGTTAGTAGTGCCAAGATCATGAAACCTGCCTTAAGGGTATCTGTAAAGGGGTCTCCCTGGTGGCTCAACGGTTAGGAGACGCAGCACTGCAATGGAGAGGTAGCCGCTTCAGCAAGTTGGATCCCCAGCTAGGGAGGAGATCCACATGGCGCGGCAGACCTCTCCTGACCCGCCCGCTGCTCCCCTCAGCAGTGTACTTCATCGATCTGTCTGTCCTGCTCCCCTCTCTGTCTCTGGGTTGTACCCCAGTTCTATATGCATAAAAAAATAAATTTTTTTTTTAAAAATAAGTATTTGTAAGGTAGCGCTTTTGTAAAAGGTCAGAAAAAGAGTTACACGTGTCTGGCAACCCTGGAACCCTAGGTCAGCACTTTGCCTGTGATCTTCCCTCTCCAATATTTAAAAAAGAATGAGATCCCACTTCTGTATTTTAAGATCATTATGGATTCACATTACTTCGGAATATGTCCAAGGTCACGGCAACTTGATTGCTAATAGCAACATGATCACATGATCACATGATCAAACTTCTCTATTGCTTATAAATCACCCCCTTGTGTGGAGAATTTTTTTACTTCCTTTTAGAAATAAGAACAATTGACATTTTCAAGGCAAGGGGAATCGTAGATATTACTAGTAAGTTTTTCCTTCTGATCAAGGGCCAAAATGAGGATTCGCCGATGTTATAAACTAGAGACAAAACACATTCTCATTGTTTTAAATTTGAATATATGAGATTTTTATCTATCTGACTCGCTAGCTAACTATCACTTTTGGCAATTGATTAGAAGGCCCAATTATCTGATACTGTAATAACTTCTCCCCAGTGAGAACACAGCGCTTAACCATCGTTTTCAGGACAGGAATAAACTGAATTAAAACCTTTATGTTTCTGGAGTTTCTTGTGACACAGACCAGCTCATGGAAGGCTTACATCCAAATAAATTTGGATTTATGGAAACTGCCCTAATAATATACAAACTGGGAAGAGGGCACTTTCCTAAAATATGGATGGATGGGCCATAGGAAACAGATGACTACCTTTTCTAATTCTGTATTTAGTTCATTTTGTACTTATCCAGGTTAACTCAAAAGGAGAAAGTAAGTCATTTTATGCAAGCAACAATGTCTGGCAAGTTTTGAACTTCTCAAAATTTGCATTTGTGAAGGTAGAAATAATATGAACCAAGGACAATAACTTATAACCAAGGAAAGTTTCTCCTGATTTTTCTCTTGAAAAAAGCATTTTCTTTATACTTCTTTGCTTCATATTACTCATGTTTTACCATTTCATACAAAATTTTCACAATCATTCTAAAGATATTGTCTCTATACTTATGTAAATATTTCCTGCTGTATCTCTGTCTGTCTCTCTCCCCCCAGCATAGTGCCATGAATATAATACATGCTTGAATGAATAAATGAATGCCATATCTGTTTTCATATTTTAAGGAACAGAAGAAATGTCCCTTGACTTAAATACTATGATGAAATGCCTTTTTCTTTCTGCCTTTTTCCTTTGTAATCTATGACTTATTAAAAGTGTTTATAACCAATTCATAAAACTACCGAGTACAAGATCAACATTAGCACACCAATTTCTCCCAAGTCTCCCACTTTTCCCAATTCACATCAGTGCTTACCTGCCTTGATTTTCAAACATTTGTCATAACATTAAGCTCTTCTACTTCTACTCTCAGCTAAGCCCCTCTTGGTGAGACAGTGAATGAACCAGTAGCCCGGCCTGGAAAGCAACCATAGGCAGAAGCAAGCTGACTGCAGGACACTATATGGACTGCAAACCAGCTGTCTCCCCCATGCAGGGCTCGCAGCTCGGTGTGCCTCTGATGGTCACTCCATGGCAGGAAGAAAAGCTGCAAACTTTTATTTATAGTCACTTTTTCTTTTTCTAAAACTGTCTACCTCCTTTATATTCTATAACAGGTATAACAGTATAATACAGTGTGTATATAACTTATTTTCAGAAATCCTATATTGGAGATGCATTTTGCAAAATTGTGCCGTCAGGGCTACCCCATTCAAAAAGTAGTCCGGATTCCAGGGCTGCCTTTGAGATTCAGGTGACACACGGCCGTGTTTTGCAGGGTGCCTGTACCCTTGGCCCTGCTATCTGTCCCTTCTTTCGTATGGGCCTGATATCACTATTTAACATGTTTTGCATGCCCAGTGTGCTGGGTATGCCATGGTCAAGACTGATAAGACTTTCCCTCCAGTAGCAGAGTATAATGTCTCTTGAGTTCAATTTGGAGGGCACCCTTTTTTCTTTTTCTTTTTTTCTCCTCCTTAATGCTTCTAGGCAGATTCTTAACCCTTTTATTTCTTTCCTGTTGGACATATAAACACTTTTGAGAAACATAAAGTCCTTTCTAGGAGTGTTTTCTTTTTTAGTCATTTGTGTACACCTTTAAAATCACACATCAAATATCAAATGTTTTTGCCCAGATGAAAGTACTATTCACTAAGCAAGTTGCAAACTTTCTTCTTTATGCTTTGTGGTTATTTCATAATTCCTCTGAAACTCTTCACCCCTCTTGGGGCCTAATCAATGCTTCATATCAATTAAGCTGCTAAGGACAAGAGGCTTAGTATACCTCACAATCTTGACAACAGGTCCTTTGTTAGAGAAAACAAATTAAAAGGATAAAATTAGACCTCTGATGTAATAGCATTAAAATACTATTTTAAAAATTTTGAGTTTATTAGAGAGCTAGAGATTTATGAGTTGGGCCCTGATGTACCATCCCTACCACCACCCAAAAATAGACCTTGAGTTAGAATTCTGATAAACTGAATGTGAGTGCAATTGTTTTTGCAAAAAATTTCCAACTACATTATAAAATAAGCTCTAGGTAGTAATTACAAGTTCATGAGTATACATATGGTGTATGTTTATATTTTGTTTTTGCAGAGCAAGGAATTTACCTGAACTGACCCTTTGTTTAGCTGGGTGGGGTAGAATCTCACTTGAAAAAGTGTTGAATTATCCAAAGTGCACTTTGCTCATCTCTGGTATGATGCAGGCATTTGGGAGAATTCTCTTCATGATGGATGTCCGGTGCAGTGAGTATCTTCACATGGAGCTGAGTGAACAGGAGAACTAAAGTCACCAATGAAAACTTACAGACAAATTTACAAAACCTGCAGTTCTGGCATGAATCATGCCAGTTATTATCAAAAGAGTCCAAACTTAAAGGCTCACTGCCAGCCTGCCTCTTCAATGCACATGCTAGAAGCACTGGTGCTGAGAGAGATAAAATATGAAAGTAGAGGCTCTTTTTTTTGTAGCTAAAAATATGTCTCTTCTATACTAAGTTAAATGTGTTTGGAAACTTTGAATTTGCAAATGACAAAGTTTAGATAGGTGTAAAACTGCTTCTATTCTGCCAGTCCATGCACAGCCTGGGTGGCAATAAGAGACATTCTTTGCTTTCCTCCAAGAACTTTTTGAAACAGTCACTTCCCTTCCTCTTTTTTCTTTTTAAGATTTATTTATGCATGCATGCAGAAATGGGGTACAGGCCAGAGGTGCAGGGGCCATGAGAGGATTCACCAGAGACAGAGTGGGGAGCAGAACAGGCAGATCGAGAAAGTACACTGCTGAGGGAAGCAGTGGGAGAGACAGGAGAGATCTGCTGCACCATGTGGGTCACCTCTGGGGCCGCGGATCAAACTCACACTGATGCGACTGCAGCTAGCTTCACAGTGCTGTGCTTTAATTCATTTTGCCACCAGGGAGAGCCAGTCACTACCCTTCCTAGCATGAGGAGCCAGCTTCTACCACCTAAAGGACTCAGACCAACCGTCAGTGTTGCAGAACATTCCTCAGCCCACCCCTCCTTCCATCTCTATGTCATTCTGAATGTCCAAGCGCCCATCTATCTATCCCTGAATCTACCCATCTGCCTTTCTATCTTTCTGTCCATCCATCTGTCCAATCATTTATCCCTTCCTCCCTTCACTCAGCAAATACTTTTTGACAACCAGCTCAGCCAGATACCATTTTAGGTATTAGGGCCTCAGTGGTATAACAAGACTGTCAAAGTCCTTACCTTCCTAAAACCTCTGTCCACATATTCATCACACACACACACACACACACACACACACACACACACTTCCATTATACATAGAACTTATAGGTATTCTTGTTACTCCTAAAGTTTATTCCTGTTATTCCTGTTGTAGAACCCAACCTTAGAACGCTTTGAAGAACAGCGATCTCTTTATTGCTAATTTTATAATTGCACTTTTTCCTGTTGTTTTTCTCAGGATTGTCCTTCTCAGCTCACACATGTTCAAGCCTTGCCAGACCCTGTTTGGGATCCTGATCTACCTGTATGCCCGAGTGAGTACCCTGCATCTTCTGATCACACATTTGGAGCAGAAGTGTGAATTCTCTGAGTCTAAGGTGCATAGTAGTTTCAAATGCTTCCATTAGTAATGAACTTTCATGGGAGTCAAGCCCTTGGGGGAATGACTTCCCTTGAACAAATGTGCTTAGAATCGTCCAAATTTCAAATGCATTGAGGGAGTGCGATAGAAACTTAAGGGACATGTTGAAACATAGACTATCTCTAGTTAATGGCCAAAATATTTTCCCTGAGCTTCCAGAGTCCTCTACCTGGAATGATTTATATACAAGAGAGAACCTGATTCCCTGTTTACTCCGTGGAGATAATTCTCCTCTGGCTAAAATTAGCTTTCAAATCACTGGGTTTGATGCTGCTGCAGTGTATCTGGTCCCCTGTGACGACACTATTTGACTCGCTCCTGTTCTGCTGATTACCTGTGGTTACCCACCTGGTCAGCTCACTGGGTGGCTACCATTGAACAGCTTCAAATCTAAAGAAGTTCATCACTCTCTAGTCATTCTCTTGATCCCAGATTTTAGGCCTAAACTGTTTTATTTCCTTTCACACAACTGGGGTTGAGTCACCCTTGAAAGGATAAACTCATCTCCCATGTTGACTTGTACACCTCATTCAGTATTCTGATTTTATAACTTGCCCAGACAAGCCCTAAATTAATTTCAGGGCAGGAGACTTTCTGTATTTAAGGATCAGGATATATTTTTCCACTTCATGCCTCACTCCAAGGGTCTCTTTCCTGCCAACACTTGGAAGTCAATAAAATAGAATGAACATGAAGCTTTCTACCTGTGTTCTTTAGTTTATTTTTCTGGATGTTTTGCTAATTGTGCACTTCCTCAGATGCAGAGCTTTGGAACAGAACATCCCTCAGGATTCTCTGTTCTCAGTGGATTTACCGCTTCTGGCACTGTGCTGGTTTCCAGAGTGGGCATTTCTTGGTTTTCCTACTACATAGAATGGGATAGCAATTACCCTAGTTGTTTTTAAATAACATTTTGCTCAATGCCAACCGAAGGGAGCTCACTAAAGGGCCCCCCTTATGTAGCTGTTTTAATATCATCTGCAGTACTGTTGTTCCTTTTCTTTCCCCTTTGTAAATAAACCCATTGGTGACCTTTTTTGTCTGTGCCTGCAGTATAACTGAATTTTAAGCACGCGGGTGAGAACCCACAGACAGCAATGCAGTTTACATTCGGTTGCCCTGTAACACTAAGATGTATATTCATGACGTTGCAGATAGGTGTAATGTCTGCTTGGGGAGGTGTTGGATTGAGAGAATGTGCTCCTTGGGTTCCATTTAGAAAAGTTGCACCAGAGCTCCCCTTTCAGCAGCACATGGCAGTCTCTCATAAGGCAGAGACATTTAGTTATATCCAAAAGGGCATGCTTATTATATCAAAAAGGAAAGGAAAGGCTTGCACAGACACAGGAGACAGGCGTGCTGCCTCTGAGAGGGATGTGGTTGTTGGAAGACATCTGCGTAGACACAGGCAGGCAGTCTTGGGACTAGAGCTGCTTTTTTGACAAGGGAAGGTTTAAAGAAGACACGCCTGCATAGACACAGGCAGGCAGGCGAGCTGATCTTGCCAGTGTAGAAAATGTACTGATTCTATGTTCTTCTTTGAGGGAGGGCTTCATTCCTCTGTTGGGTTATTCCCTTCTGCTGGATTAATTGCTTCTAGGGTTTGACTAGGTTAATTTGTAAAGACCAGTGCTGCTCTACAACGGTCCCCATCTCCATAGCCCACCTCTGTTCCGCGCCTCTAGACACTCTCTGGAACATTCTGATGCTTGCTATTGCAGCCGAGGCCTAAGGATGTGTTATTTCTATAGCTGGTTTAATGACTATGTTAATCATTTCCACCCCACCCTCCGGTTTCTAGTCTTGTGACTCATCCATCCTAAATTTTCTCCTCTTGGCTTCCGTCAGGTACATCAAGGAAGAAACATTGTCTTAGATACTGAATAAGCCCTTAGAATTCTTGGTTGAAGTCAAATTAACTAAGGAAGATCATAGTCAACCCCTAAAGAAAGTTTTATTATTATCTGATAGAATAACTATTATAAGAGTTTTTATGTATTATCTTTTTAAAAATGTGAAACAACCTCTGGGCAGAGAGTATATCATTTCTAGTCACAGGTGAAGAGACTGAAGCACAAAAATGAACTTGCCTAAAATGACATAAACAGCAAGTGTTGTGCAATTTGAACACAAGCCTCTTCATATCAGAACAGAGCTGCAAAGTGTTCGTTTCTTATTAAGTTACAGTTCAATAGCTACTGTTCTTTCATTTACTAGGTCTCACTTTAGGCTATTAAGATTCACACACACACACACACACACACACACACACAGAGGGACAAAAAAAGAATCTGTCCTGCCTTTTCTTTTGTAGACTGGTATAGATGATTAATCATAAAAAGGAATACGGTATTTTTTTACATAAAACAAGTCATTGATCTACGATAACAGGAATAAAACAAAGATTTTTCACTTCAGTCAATTTAGTTATTTTGCTGCCACCTAGTGACCCGAATGAAACGGTTTGATATTTTGCTGCCATCTAGTGACCTAAAGGAAAATAACATGCAAGCTTGTTTGGCATTTGTTAAGTTCTATGGTTGTAGTTTAAAGAATCATAAAATGTGCATACCTTAAGTCTGAAAATGTTTCAGATCTGATGCTCCAAGTTATCATTCTTTCCTTATCTCTTTTCACTTTTTCTCATTATGCTAATATGTTTTTTCTCATATCCAGAGTTGTTCTTCAAAATCAAGTTAAGATAGACAGTAGAAGAGAATCCAAAATCTAGTTCATTTTATCTCTGTACGATGTTTTTATATGGTTTTAGATCATATATACTTCTTTTTTCCAATGTTATTTGTGCCCATTTTTATTTAACTAATTGACATACTAATTTTTCATATATATGGGAAAAGTTTATAGTTGATCAACTTCATCTACATGTATTTAGTTATATAAGTAATTACAGTCAGACACTGAAATTAGTTTTTCATTTTCAGTTCAGAATACTTATCATCTACTTAAATATTCACTGATTGTACATAAGGGAATTTAGGTCAGTGGTCTTGAATAATTATCTCTTCTTCATAAAATATATCCCTTCTTCGCAGGGATTTTAATATATTTACACTGTTAAAATCTACCAGTGTCCTATGTTCATTGCATTATTGTTGGTGCATTCATAGGCATTTAAGTATATAATCATCTGAATATTATGACACATTAATTCAAATTACATTCTGCCCATTCTGAAATTGTAAAACATCGCCAGTGATCATATCAGGAAGAACAAAAGTGGGCAGTTGCTGAAACATTACCAGTACCACAGCTCCGAGCCACAAGCTCTCTGTAGGCTGCATGTGCCTGGAAAGCAATTCTTAGTGGGCTGTGAATTATCAGGAAAATGAGCCCCTCATTTTCCCACAAATTTGGTTTTAATAATCTAACGGACATTTAAAATAACTCAGCATTTTGATTGCAGGGGGAAAGTTTTATGTTGGGTGTTAACTGTGAATACTTACAATGACCCAAATTAGGGAGAAAATAAGTTTTACTGGAAAGCTACCATATGAAATTAAAGAGATTATTTATGAACAAAAACCAGCATTAGCCTAGGGCCTCCTGGTAGTGCAGGGTTAAGTCTCAGCACTATCAAGCTATAGACAAACACAACAGCAGGAATTTGATCCCTGCCAGGCGCCAGCAGGGGGGATGTTCCCCTCTGCAGCGTATTTCAGTAGATTCATTGTTCTGCTCCCCACTCTGTCTCTGGTGAATCCTCTTACCCCTGCACCTCTGGCCTAGATCACAATCTTTGTATGCATAAATAAATAAAATAAAATTTTAAAAAACAGTATTAGCCTTAACCATTTATTGTGCTGTTTGGAGAAAAAAATGAGTACTTGTCCTGGATTCACCCATATTCATGATGTCAGTTATTTACCAACATTTACTGAGTGCTTACTGGATGCCAGTCACAGGATTAGACAATAAGGAGAATGTCAGTGTACACAACTCTTTATCTGTGTCCTCATGGACTTCATGGGCTAGGGATATAGCAGCTTTTGAGTGTTTATTTTCCCTTCCAACAGTTCCAGCGTTGTTCAGTCTTTGACTTAAATTAGTACTGATATACCTGGACTAGGATATACATTCCTCCCCCACAGAGAAGGTAGAGTAGATATATTTTTCTAGGGTTCTAAACAATCCTAAGTGAGTACCCTGAGAGAATCAGCTGTGTATTAGCACTAATGATCACAACTCCACACCTCTTAATTTCAAGGGATTTAATTAACACATCCAGTTTGCACTGACCAACCTGGTTTTATTTCACTCAAGTGGTAATCTATTAACTAATGTTAGCCTCCTAGGACTCTGACACATGACTTGACTTCCGGCATCACACAACCCACTTGACCCAATACCATTTTCATCCCATAGGGTAATGAACTTACTACGTCATTTGCTAACGCAAGTTAACATACTGGCCAGTGATATGAAAAACACATCAAAGTCACTAACTGCTAGATTTACTGATATTAAATGTTTTGACTGTCTCGGTGCATGGACTTTGCAGTGGAAAATGTCATCCTAAAGCACATTTAAAAAGATAAGGACATATGGCCCTCCCTGGTGGCGCAGTGGGTTAAAGCGCAGCACTGAGAAGCTAGAGCCACCTCCACCTGAGTTCGATTCCCACCTGCCCCGGAGGTGACCACGTGGCGCAGCAGACCTCTGCTGACCCGCTCCCTGCTCCCCTCAGCAGTGTACTTCATCGATCTGCCTGTTCTGCTCCCTGCTCTGTCTCTGGTGAAGCCTCTCACCGCCCCTGAGCCTTTGGCCTGTACCCCAGTTCTGTATGCACAAATAAATAAATCTTTAAAAGAAAAAAAGATAAGGACATAAAAGCTACAGCCTGACTTGACTCCAAGCCCCTAAGCAGCACCCACAGTACTGGAATGAATCCCAGAATCTTAAACCAACTTTGCGATCTCTGAAAGCTATTCCACACTCTCAAATACATTTCCATAAATCCTTCATCTTCCGTGCAATTCCTCAGAAAGTTAATTGACTTCACTATTCCATGAAGACTGTAGTGGCCAATAAAATTCAAACTTAAGTCCATTATCACCACCCTACAGTTATGAAAACAAACTTTCAAAGTTTACCACTTCATTTTATACCATTTTGCCATTATAACCCTTTTTATCATTAAAAAACACAGCACTCATCTATCTGCATTCATTCTTTATTGTTTTGATGATCAGTACAATTGCTTTCACTCCAAGTGCAGTCATTCATTCCTGCATCTTCTAGGAATCATTAATTCCATCTCCAAACTGGAAAGCTATCAGAAGCAGGTTTTATTTTAATAAGCATGCAAAGATAAAAGTAGTAAAAATGTAAAATAAATGGCCCTCCTTCAGGTGCAGAAAATGTTAGGAGAAAGTCAACTATCTTGTGAAGAAATTCAGATACTGAGTTAACTAACATTTTCTTAAACTCCTGATTTTACTGTTTCCTTGTATCAATAAACAAAACCAGGTATTATTTCTAGTGGATGAAATTGTATTAAATAATGAAACTCTTGGTAGTTTAAGAAGTTGAAAGACAGTGTCATCTCAACTTTTGATGTCATTTTAATAGCTGGCTTATGTTTAACTGTATGATCTTCATACCATTCTACTCCTAAATATAGAAATACTCATTATGCCTTTGAGATAGACAACTAGTAAAAATAGTCAAACTGAAGTTCTGGGAAATTTAAGATAACAGAAAAATGGTGCCCAGGGCCATTTTTCTCTTTCTTTTCAACTTCTTCCTTCTTTGCGATCTTACTAGAAAATGCTACTTTTTTAGGAAAGATGATTCTTAGAAAGACCAAATGTTTTCATATTAGATCTTGCAAAGTAATTTTGGTTTCCTGGTGATTTCATCTCCTCCATTCATTGCTTAATGTGGAAAACTGAATCATACTTAAAGCAAGGAGCACCAAAGGGAGGCAAAGAACAAAGCTCTCCCTTGGCAGGTTTCTTTTCCTGAAGAGGGCAAGCTCCCAAGACCTCATTTGAAGGAGGCTCTCACTACCCTGCCCTTGATGGGCTGCGGGGGGCGCCAGTTCCCCACCAGGGGCACCGGGGGCTCGTTCTCAGCACTGGAGAAGAGGCTCCGCAGCTTGGCCATCTGCAAGGGCAAAAAGAGAAGGTCAGCAAGCCACCAGACCACGCACACGCTGCAACAAAGAGTTAGAAATCGCGGGCTTTTCAAACAAGACAAAGCAAACCACAAAACCTGTTTTCAATATTCAGTCCGGGGCTATTGGGCCATCAAGTCATACAAACTTTACATTAGTTGTAGAAGCCCCTTTCTTCATTTTATACAGCATGACCATTGCCCTCTAGTCAGAACCTTTTCTGAAGCAATTATTTTAATGTGAGAGGTCAGTATATGAGGTACTTTCTATAGGAGTTGGCAAAATTAACTGATCAGTGCAAATGAGAAGTTTAACTGTCCTTCATAGTGTAACTTAGAGGAGTCACTTTTTTTTTAAGGAACAGAAAAAAAAATAAGAATTATGCTACATTTTACATGTTAACTGATTTTTCTCAAGGGAATATTTAGGAAATCTCATTAGTAACACTAATTTTTTATATTACTCCTTAAGAAAATTTCATTCCTCTTTGAAAATAAGTACACAAGTAAACCTGACCATTAAGTCTGATCTTTTGATTAAAATGATCATATATAATTGAGTCCACAAGGGGCAGAAATAGGAAAGCAGCTGTTTAAGAAAGAGAGAAATACTGAAAAACTGATTTCACTGTGAGATATTCATGTCTGTGGTGTTCCACTGTTTCTGTCCTTGGTATTCACTACCCACTTAATTATTCCAGTCTTTTCCATGAAAGTCTGCTTAACAAATGTTGCAAAGATGCTTTTTGATGAGTAGTGAGATAGGGAGGCCTCAGCAGAGCTGCAAAGGGATACTAGACGCAGACATCTGGAACGGAATCTCGAATTCTGCATTTGCCTACGTAATCACCGGCAAATGACTTAACTGTTCTGAGCCTCAACTTACTTATCTGTAGTTCTAGGGAAAAAATTACACAATCTCAAAAATGACCTTTCACTAACACTCTTTTCCAACTCAGGCCCTGTACCTAATCAAGGTTCCCCTTTTGGGGGTACTCCAAATTAGCAAAGTCTGTTAATAATGTACATTTTTAAACGTTTCTAAATTATAGGCTCAGTCACTCTCTAGCATAACCACTTTTAAATTATTTGCGTTTGTTCTGGAACCCCTTTTGGAAGTACAGATTTAGAAAGTTAAACAAATTGACTGTAATTAGACAAGGCAAACTGAATTTCCAGGGGTAGAACTTCTGTAAGCAGTCATTTCGTCAATATATATTGGCTTACTGCTGTCACTGGCTTACCTGGTCGGAGCTCACGGTCATAGGTTCTTTGAGCAGGAGCCACACGATGCACTCCTCGCAGGGCGGTGTGGTGAAGGAGCCGTGGTAGGACCAGTAGTCCCGGCAGGCGGGAAAAAGGCAAGACGGGTCGAAATTGGTGAAAGGTGCTTCCTTGCCCTGTAAAGAGCAGGCGCATGCGCAGTGAGCCGCCGTACGCCCACAGCCCACCCCCGGGGTCTCATCATCTTGTGAGACTGGTGATTTCAAATGCGTTAGGAAAAAGGTAACTTTTAAACAAAATGCCTACCTTTCAGAAATAAAGGGCAAAGGAGGGAAAGCTGATTTGCATGTTATGACTTTCTCTGGCGGTTCTTCTAATATTATTCCTTATTAGCTGTAGAACTCTTAAATCTATTCTCAGAATAGAGAATAGAGAAGTTCACATCTGAACGTTAACAGAAGTTATTTTACATAAGTTAATGGCTTGGTTCTTGATACTAAAATAGGCTTGCATTTTTTACCGAATAGTAAATACTTTCTGTAGTCATAAAAAGTTCTAGCACTTGATTAGAATAGTTCCAAAGGCAATCAAATTGAGTTTGTTAATTAAAGGAGTGTACTGTTAATATTTAAAATATATAGGCTGTACCCAGTAAAGAAAGGGTAATATTAGCACCCAAATATTTGTTATCCTGCAAATTGGCACAGAGGGGTGGGTGGTGGGAGTAAAGATTGATCAATATTATATATTTATAATATTTATATATTCTATATATATTACATATTTTAATATGTTACATTTTAAGTGTAATTAAAATGTTGTATTTATGTTAGTTATATTTTAAGTGAAAGACCTACACTTGAAATATAAAAATGAATTATTGATATAACTGCTCTGTGTTCTAGAAGGGGAAATTACTTTTTTTTACCTTTGTCTTAATTTTGTCCAATGCATCAAGGACCAGCTGGAACTCGCCTTTCTCACGTCCTATCTGCAAGAAAATAGAAAACCAATATTTATATTTTCTCTTCTCTCTAATTTAAGATTGGCTTAAAAATTGATTTGATCCATCCTCTACAACTAGTGTTTATAAATCTGCCAAAATATCTTGTTCTAAGTAAAAAACATAAATTTATTCTCCCCCAAGATTTTAGAGTATCTATTTTCTGAACTAAACGTGGACTTCAGGTCTTTGAAGTACAAAACCACAAAATTACATGATGTTCTACTTCTATTTCTTTACTTCTACTGTCCCTGACCTTCTCTGCAAAGAAGTACAGCTGGGATACAGTCAGTGTATCCAAAACTGAACTCACTTTCTTTCATCTCAAACCTACTCCTCTTCCCATTGTGTTGTGTTCAAGCCCTGAAAACCACCCAGTGAATTCAGAACACAAAACAAATTAGGTCATTCAAAAAGAAAGAAGTTAGATTTTCACCTCTGACTTAAAATCTAGATTATGTTACCACTAAAGTCATGTGTTAATGTCACTAAGCCCCCTTTAAACCAAATCTGGCTCAACAACACACACATTCCATGTGCTGTCTTAGCCTGGCATCATGTGAGCGGTGACCAGTCTAAGCTGAGGGGATATCCAGCCAGGGACTTAGCATCTAGTGGTTGCCAGAATTGGCTTTTCTGGTTTCCAGTGCAAACAAAATGGAACAGAGAGAAAGGATAATGCCCTTGCCCTCCCACGACCATAATAAGCTCCTTCAAAGATTCTTGTCACAACTCTATCCTACACACACACACACACACACACACACACGCACTTACATATCCCACATCTTGAGAAAATTGAGAAGTACTTGGGCATACTAGAGTATGGCAAAAGGCACAGTTAAGGAAAAACTTAACATTTTAAATTGACCTTAGCAGAGATTCCTTGACTCCCATTGAGGGAATGGATAATCAATTTTATTTCTTTCTCCCCTTTAAACAAAAGAAGGAAATGACATTAATACACCACACACACACACACACACACACACGCACACATATACATATATATGACCAATTCTTATTTTACCTTCAGAAAGATGCCAACCACGGCTATTCCATCAGGTTGCTTCAGAGCTTCTCCAAAAGTGTTGTACTTTGGATTCCAGTGAACCAAATGAAGCTGAAACCAGAGAGTAAAGGTTATAAGGGAAATGCCTAGAATAAGGACACAAGTATAAAATTACTAAAGCAAATAATTATACAGTCTAAGGTTGTTGAACACTGTCATGGGAGCTAGTATAATGCAATATTTTGGTTTTTTTTTAATGATTCAACTAAAAAGTACATAAATTATGATTCATAGATTTAGAACTTTGAATAAATGATCGATAAAAAACAAGACCTTGGGCCCCAACCCGTTAAAGCACAGCACTGAGAAGCTAAAGCCACTTCGGCATGAGTTCCATCCCCACCAGGGAGGTGATCCTCGAGGGCGGCAGATCTCTCCCCACCCGCCTGCTGCTCTCCTCAGCAGTGTACTTTGTTGATCTGCCTGTTCTGCTCCCCGCTCTGTCTCTAGTGAAGCCTCTCGCCACCCCTGAGCCTCTGGCCTGTACCCCAGTTCTGTATGCATAAATAAATAAATCTTTTTTAAAAATTGAGACCTTGTTAAAACAAGTCAAAATATTTGTTTTTATAATATTGCTCCTTTTTTTCTACCAAATTACAGTGTAACACAAGCTATAGACATGAAACTTTTAACATCCTAGAACTGTAGTTAATTGGGAAGTGAGGAAAAATAAGGGGGGAAAAATCTTGGGCATTTGCACACCTTTTGCAGTCATTGCCCTGGGACTCTGTGGCAATCTTGTCGTAATTTAGCACATTTTCAAAATGTCCATATTGAGTTACATGAATTAAATAATTCATAGCAGCTAAAAGATCTTTTTATTCTAGACTAGCTGTTATCTATGTATTCCATACGTAAAAATCAAACTCCAAGCCTTGCCCACACTTGTAAAAAATATACTAAACTTTACCCATTTGTGGGAGGAAATGTTTAGAAAGCACTGTCAATAATTTGTCCTTTCACTGGCTTTCTAGATGGGCTATAGAAAAATGCAGTGATAACAATGATCTGACTTGGGTATCCTAGAGTTAGCCTAACCAGCAGTTAAGCCGCCTAGTGATTCTGCCTGAGATTCCACACTCTTGCCTCCACGTTCCTATTGCAGCTCCTATACTAACCACAGCCTGCCCTAGGCAGCGTGGGGGCAGTAAAAAATAAAGAGCCTCACCTCCAGGGCACTTGTCAACCTCTTATAGGCTTGCCTATACAGAGAACTTGCAGAAGGCATGTCTTATTTCCTTGTAATTTGATGCCTTGATTTCAGCTACAAATTATGTTTTTCTTTGGGGGTTGCCAAGACAGCAAGTCGTATTTGCTCATATTAAATTGTATATATATCTATGTATGGATACATAAATATAGATATATATTGTATATACATATATATGAAGAAATATTCATGCACACCCTACATTGAGACTAGATAGAACATGAACATTAACCCAAATTCCTAAATGTTATTTTTAAACCACAAGTTTCTTCTAAAAGAAGCAGCTTCGTGTGCAGAACAAAATGGTGAACTCTGAAATCAACCTGCAGAAGATAGCACACCAGGTCTAGCACTCACAGGCTGTTGACTATGAAGAACCATCTCTCAGCTCTCCGCCTTTAACCTAGCTCATGGAGTTGCTGACAGGATCAAGTGAATTAACACTTGTAAGCACTAAATAAGTGTCAGCTATCCTTATCTTTTCAGTTCCATCCAGAAGCCTGATACCCCCCCTTTTTTTCAATTAAGCTGTGATCCAGTTTCTTAAAATAACCTTGAAATTCCTAATGCATGATGCCAATTTACCTATACTCTCTTAACTGTTTAGCTCAGAATGTTTGGCAGTTTCAGCTCATTTTAAAATGACTCCAGTTCTTTCATAATGACTAGCTGGAAGCAAAAGCAATGCACGCTGTACTGTCATTTTTTGGTTTTCACTGTGTGAGACCCAGAGTGGCTCAGGGTCATTCTCCTACCTCCGCAGCATACTTGACTCCATCCACGGTGTGCTCCGAGCCGTGGTCGTCAGAGGAGCCCCAGTGAAGATGAAATTGACGAAGCCGGTAGGGCCCAGTGAGAGGACCACCTCTCAGCACTGTGATTCAAAGAAGCTTAGGTCAGCAGTAGAACTCACACCTTTTGCAGAGCCCTGCTGTCAGCCAAGGCTGGATGGGCAGAAAATGTGGTCAGACTGTTGGGCTGGTGATGCCACAACATAAAGGTTTGGGGTATATTAAAATAAATTATTTTCCTTGTTTTGCTGATTTGTTGTAGTATTTTCAAAATATCAACTTAACATTTATGAAAATAAAATTAAAGTAACAGATGGGCAATAAGGATGCAGACAACCAAAGAATGGGTCAGTCATGGGTACAGTGGGAAGAACATGATAGACGAGAGCCAGACAAATTTAGGTTCCAGCTCTGGCTGCCTTCACCCTGCTAGTTGTGTGTTCTCAGGCAAGTTGCTAAACTTCTTGGAAAGTGTTTTTTGCATTTGTATGAAGGTGATAATAATAGTAGCCTTTCAAAGCTTATATAAGGATTAAATGAGATTAAAGATTTTAAAGTTTTCATCACAGGGCCCAGTATGCCATCTCTGAGCAAATGTGAATTCCTTCTCCATGTTTTGCTTCCAACTACACCTTTCTTTTAAGACTATAAGCAAGAGGTTTCATCCATGTCTCGTTAGGCTGTGTCTATTTAAATGAGATGAAATGTAAAGTTCAGAGATTTCCTAGGGAATCAATGTGGACAGCTAGAATAGACAATTCTTGTTAACATTAATTTCAGCTTTTTTTTTTTTCAAATACCTCAATTTGTCATTTAATTTGATTTCATTTCATTTAGGCTGGGCTGTGATTTAGAGATCCAAATATTTTATAAAGGATATTGAAAACTATGCAGACACCCCAAAACAAAGATTTAGCAGTGGAAGTTACATCAACATAGAATTTAGAAGATAGCAATTATAGAAAGGATTGAACAACTATTGATGCCGAAATGACACATGAATGCTATAATGTAGGTCTAAAACAACAGAACTAGGCTTGCATGAGTTTTATCATGTAAAAATGACTGACTTGATTCATTGCCTTTTTCCTTTTCAACCTCTAGTAACAGCTATTATCTGGTCAGATGAGTTCAAGTCATTAGAAGGAGCCATAGGAAACATCAGTATTCAAAATGGTGTTTTCATATGGCTCACGCTAACAGATACTGTTTGATTTTGTTCTTTATCCTTCAAAATGGAATTGTTTTAAATGTGGAAGGGATAAGTAACAGCAACATGGGATTACAAATTCCTATGCTGCTCCTTATTTGGAACCTGCTAGTAGCAAGAAATTACAACCCTCATTCTTTACTACATTGAAAATATTGAAAATATTCATTTCTATATACTAGTAAGTATATTTTAACTTTTTACAAATTTGGTTATAAGAAAAGCATTGTTATACACTGATTTGTTTATAGTGTAGGTGAAATAAAGAGATGTTTCTAAGTTATGTTTTTTTTTTCATTTTTACTCACACAAATCACTAGTTTAAAAAATTGTCAGATACTTCAAAAACACTCAACAAAAGGAATAATCAGATAAACACCCCACTGAAGCACTGAAGGCTAGTCTTCTTTTGAATAGCCCTATTCTCTCACCAGGACTGGCTCCCTCCAGCATACCAGGGCAAGAAAGCACCCACTTTGTTTCTTTGCTATTTTTCTTGCTTTGTAGAATGGAATCTCTGAATTTGGGAGTGGGACCCTCACTCTGCAGACCATAGTCAGGAAGCACAAGAATCCTCAGGTGTAGTCATCAGAACCTGAAGACTCTTCATGTGGACCTTCGCCAACCCCCACCCTATCAAGTGCCATGTCAGGACTGAATTGACAACATCTAACTTGAACATCCAGTCCACTTTTAGCAGCAAAATGACTGTTAGAATGTAAGACATCCCTCTTCAATGCAGAAATACAAATTTTTATGACTAGAGCAAAGTGAAATATCAACTCCATTTTCTGAGAAGTGCCCCCTTGTCCCCACTAATTCTGTGGCATCACATTTTGCCATTATGGGTATTGAAAATGTCAATGTGCCTCTACCTAAGCATCACACTTACTTGATCTATCATAAGTATCATCAAACACAACCCTGCATGTCTTCCCATTGTTCAGGATGGTCTTGGCAGAGCCGGGGTCATAAGATGCTGACCACGGCTGCAGAGAAGGGTCATGCTTGATGTCTTTAGTATGCAGCTCGATGGGTGACTGGTTGTCTCCCTTGGCAATTGGGTAAAGCTCATGCCAGTGATCAGGACCTAGAAAATAAAATAGAGGGGCTTATTTATTTAGTGGCATAAACTAAGAGCTTTTTCCAATCGACTAAACCAGCAGAATACACAGGCTAGACAATGATTATGGAAAAGTCTTGGATTTCATATTGGGCAATCAAGTCTTACCATTTGACACCTGTTGATAGTTTTGTTAATCATGTATCTAGAGAGTATATTTAACTGAGAGTATTACCTCTTATTGCTCAAGAATATAATTTCAAAGGCTTCTTTTTGAAATGGACTTTATACAATTTACCTATGCCATTGTCTGTCATACAGTTGGAATAAAACATACAGTTGGAATAAAATAACAGACATGGTATGCTTTTCAGTATACACCCATAACATTTTTGCCAGGGGTCAGGCAGGAGCCTGGACAGAACTGGGATTCTGATACCAAACCGGCTCAGAGAGGTTAAGTGCTTGCCCTGTAGGGTGGGGTAAGGAACAATGAGGAAGGGGCAGCAGGTGGTCTGACTTCTTGGCCAGAGGCTGGTGTGATCTCTGAGAAGTTACCAGCCTCTCTGTGCTTCCTCCAGTGGAAGTAATTACAGGTCCCTACAGGGAAACTAAATGAGAGGAGCTAAAGGGGTCCGTAGCATTTGGTACTTAGGAAGCACTTAGTGTTAGTTTCCATTCGACTCCTCCGCCCGCACTTTCAAAGGCAGACCTTAGAGGTGCCCACTTCCTGAGCAGCCCAGGGCTTCTCGACCTGGTCAGGTACCAGAGCTGTGGCAGCCCACACTCACCGTTGTGGCTGGCGTAGCCCCACTCCTTGGCCATTGTTGCCTTTCTGGGCACGAGACGACTCCTGCTTTCTCTCTCCGGCGTCGTGCAGAGTCCCCGAGAACCCGCGCCTTTTATATATGTCCCCCACACATTGCATGGCCTTATTAGGTCAGCGAGGGTGGGGCAGGGGGCTAAACTGGTTTGGGGTGGTATGTGGGAGGCGGAGTAGGGGAAGCCAATGAATTCCAAGAGTTGGACAGCTGTCGGTGTTGGGGGGTATGGGGAGGGGTGAGATGGGCAGAGGGCCCCCAGCCCTCCCTATCCTCTTCCTGGAACCGCCGTCCCTCCCCCTCTCCCTCGGGTCTCCAAAAGCTTCAGGGCTTTCTAACTCTCAGTGGCGCTGACCAGCAGAAACGCGGGCGATTTCACAGAATCCTTCCTCCCTCCTCCCTTCCTCCCCTGTGTTAGTTAGTTTTTTTTTTTTCTTAGTGGGGCTGGAGACGGGGTAGGGGAGGTTGGTGGGTAATAGGGAGTCGTGGCTGTGCTTTGCCACGAATTCAGATACGCACCCCAGTTGGGCTTGCAACCCACTTAGAACTTGCTTTAAGCTCAGGCTGGCCGTCAGGCTACGGTGCTGGACACTTCTGAAAGTTTATTTCTCTCCAGCGATCCAGTTATGGTGGCTGAAAAGAATAAGTTTGTTTGCCTGGCCGATGTTTGACTTCCGTGCAGGCAACCTACAAAATCCTTGCAAAGGATGTGTGTAGACTCTGGGAGTGCAGTTTCTATAAAGTCCGTTATCGTTAAAGAGGCTTACAGCACCAGCTTCCCCGAACCGCTTCTGGCGGCTAGTCCCAGCTTAGCAGATCTGTTTGGTCTACTGGGGGCGGAGGGCTGGATCCCTGACAACGCCAGCAAATTGAGGAGAAGGCTGGATGGATCTCAGCTTCCCGCAGAGTCCGAGTGGGAAACTGAATTATGCCGACTCCTTGAATTGTACCTATTCTGAAGGGCTGGAAGGCTACAAAGAAAGTGAATCCGAATTATTCAGAACGTGTGATCTTACTCTCCAAGACATAATGAAAGGAGCAGGAAAAGACCTCTATGATCCCCACCCCCTTGAGTTCTTTTGTAATACTATGAATCACACAAAAAAGAAAATAGGACCAGCCTATCCAATGTGCACTGATCAAATATACATTTTTATTATGTTTATTAGTTTTAAAGTATGTATTTTTAAAATGTCTGGTATGGCTCACAGTGATGATATCAGGTTATAGGTATAATAATTCTAGGAATGCATTATGAAATTTCTTCTCTGGTCTAGGTCTGTAGTAATTTTATTTTGAAAAAGATAGCAAGCAAAGATAAAACTAATTTCCATGCTATTTTGAACAAGCTTACAATATACATTTCCTAAATTACTTGGATTTTTATTGATGCTAGTATTTTGCGATTGGAGATTACAAAACTTGAAAAGGAAACCTCTCATCATGGTAAAGATAGCTCATCTGCAAGGCATGAGGAATGACTGACCACACTCATAACCGGGACGCCAGGGGAGTCACAACCCAGGGTATTTTTGTGACCGAGGATTATTTGATCCGCACAATAACCATGTGGAATCAAGAACTGACATAGTTCGGAAAATCCAAGCAGAGAGGAAAGCAAATGTCCTAAGACTCTGAGCTCAAATATGTCAGCTGGTTGGGAAAATCTGCAGAGCTGAAACTCCTGGACCAGTTTTCTGCTTTAATGGGAGAGTGCAGTGGTGGTAGATCTTGTGGTTAATGGAGGTGTTTTCTATTTCTTATCTAGTGCATCATTATTTATATCAGCAGATTATGATCTTGTGTCCCAGTTCACTAAATTGTTACCTCTCTTTATCTGAGATGTGTGGCTAGACAACTGGTAGTTAAATTTCATGTGATTTGAAGATAAAGTATTTAATAAAGTCTTTGCACCAAGCAAGGTCAACAGTCTAAGAATTCATGACATTGTTACTATGTACTCATAGAAAGAGTTTAAAAATGGACTCTTACTCACTCATTAAAATAAGTGCCTCTGCACAATGAATAAATAATAATGTATACAATGGCATATAATCTTAAATAAACACTGCATAAGATTTGCAAAGTGAATTATTTATTAGTTTAAGGTATATGGTCTTGAAAATGACAATTGGTGTCTTTACTATATTTCCTTAAGAGAAAGTTAATAAAAATTAGAATTTCAAAAGAACTTATATCAAATTGTATCATTTTAGACAATAATCTATTTTTCAAAACCACAAATTAATCATCTGTGTCTAAATTGATTTACTCTAGCATATTTGTTTATGAATTTAAAAATCCCCTGTCAACAAAGCAAAGTGATAATTCCAAGTTGTGCCATGACTTTTGAGATTTCTGGAACTGGGTTAAAAAAGCAATTGTTAGGTTAAGTACAGCCAGAACAATCTAGGAATGATTAACTACAAATTATCTCCTAGAATATTGACAATATTCAATACTACAATGGGAAAATTGATATGCTGGGTAATTAGTATGAATTGTCTGCAAAAAATTAATGTGAAAGGAAGGAGGAAAAGGGAATAAAAGAGAGAGAAAAAAATTGGAGTGAGCAAAAGTTATTGGGAGATGGTAGAGTTTCTAAACTTGGAAGTTTCAACAGAGATCTCTTTTAAAATTATAAATTCAAAAGCTCTAAGGTGCTAAAATTTAAACATTTTTGCCCTTGATTTGGCATTTTATTTTATATTACCAACTAATGTAACCAAGTCACTGTAAGTTGGTATCACTGGGTGATTTTAGTACATTAGAAATAAAAGAAAAAAAGTGAGAATTGCTTACCTTTTTAACTAAGATCAAAGTATAAATTAGGATTTGAAGTAATTATGTAATTTTACTTAAATGCTTTATGTTATAGCGGCAAGTGTTTTTCTACTCATTATTATTTTTCTTAGAAACAAGTTCTAGGATAAAAATATACAAATGACTAATAAAATTTTAAGTTAATCTACTTAACTGTCACACAGAACTTGTATCTTCCTTCCCTATAATCTTATTTTTCTGAGAGAACATTGGCAAGAATCTTGTCTCACTATGTTATATAGGAACATGATAGGCCCAGTTCTTGAGCTTGTCACCAGTGACAGCTGAGTCCCTTGAGTTGGATCTTAAATTTTGGCTCCTATTCATGGTAGCTGTGCAGGAGAGTAGTCTGAGGTCTTCTCCCGTCTGGTGTCTCTCACTAAACTGTATCAATCTGAACTGTCACTTCATTTGACAAAAGAACATGAATCTAAAAGGTGAGTACTCCCAGATAAATAAAGTAAGACCATCAGGGTTCATAAGTTCATTTTTTTTCCTTCCAAAACCAATTTTTTTTAAAGTACAGCAGTAGCATTTTTTTTTAAAGATTTTATTTATTCATACAGAACTGGGGTACAGGCCAGAGATGCGGAGGGTGAGAGAATTCACTAGAGATACAGCGGGGAGCAGAACAGGCAGATCTACGAAGTACACTGCTGAGGGGAGCAGCGGGCGGGTCAGGAGAGGTCTGCCACGCCATGTGGTCACCTCCCGGGCAGGCGGGAATCGAACTCATGCGGAAGTGGCTTAAGCTTCTTAGTGCTGTGCTTTAACCCGCTGCGCCACCAGGGAGGGCCAGCAGTAGCATTTTCAATGGAGAAAAACTCATTACTTAAACTTCATGCTACCTTTCTTAATATCAATCATAGGTGATCAAGTCTAGCTTTCAATAACAATGATAGTATATGATTGTAATAGTCACAAGTGGAAATTTATTTTGTTTCACCTTGACATTTCATTATGTGGCCATTTGCCTAAGGTTTCTTTGGCATCAGGCACCTCATCTGGACATGGAAAGAATAACCCCTTCCTTACAAGGTTCTTAAGTCAGATAATATATTAAAGCACTATCACAATGTAAGTCACTCAGCAAAGCTAGTACTCTTCCTCGTACATTTTATCTAGCTTCTCTCTGACCAGACTCCCCTAAATAATCCTAGCTCCTTATTGATCTTAAACAGGGCTTCCTGTGCATCTCTCAAAGTACAGGAGCTAACCCACAGAAACCACTTAGATAAAGAGACTTTCTGCTATTGAAAGATAGCATTGAATCCCACAGCCTTCACCTTTAAACTATTTCGAATGGCTCCATCTCATTGCCAGTTGTCCCTTCACACAGTGGGAATCAAAGTAAGCCTTTTTAACTGGGCACAACCAATGATGTGTACAGTGCCTAAGCTAATATAACAGTTAAATGAAACTCTGAGCATCATGATAAGAACTAAAAACAATATCATTCCTTCAAAATGACACTCATTTAGGGTTGTTCAGGCATCCATCTTACCTACTTTCAGCCTTATTCTATCCTTTCTTTCCAGATTTGCCCACCCTCTCCTTCAGCTACAAGAGCATCTTTCACTCTTCCCACAGCACAGTTTACTTCTCCTGCCCATCCACCCCCCTCCATGGCTTTTCACACTCTGTTTTCCCACTGACTATTTTCCTTGACTTGTCCTTTCCAGCTGCTGCACCAGCTTAAAAACCAAACTGCTTATATTAACAGACTGTATAGTGAGTGCTTATGTACGATTTCACACTGAAAAAGCATGTATTTATCTTGAAGGTCCGCTCTCTCCTAAAGCTGCTGGTTTGGGGCCTGCCCTCCTACCACAGTGGCTGCGCTGTCAGTCTCAGAAAACTGCCTGCTTTCCCTCCCTGCTGTCATTCAATGCAAGGCTAAGCCACTATTAGAGTTACATTGACTTGTTTGGGTTTTATTTTTTGGTCTGCATAATGCACATCCAGCGTGATGCAAATTATTTTGCTACTCTGGAAAAAAATCAAGCCCCAACTTGAAGTCTACAGGGACTAGAAAAATCTCAGTTTCATTTCTGGCTTTTTCTGTAAAGCATTGTTGTTCTTACTGGTGAGGTGACTTCTCAGAATAATGACGACCCTGCCAAATATCACTTGGCTATTAGCACCAGACAAAATAATACATGTGCAAGCACTCAAAAACTAACATTTATATTTATCATTGTTCCCAAGTTATACATTTAATACTGGATCAGTATTTAATGGGAGTTTTGTGCAAAAAATTCAATGCACCATTTTTTAAATTGTAAGGACTATTTTGAAAAGCACAAACCTAGTAAATCTAAAATCATGGCATCTTAAAAGCATTAGGACATAAAAGATTCCTTTTCATCTAGTTTCTGAATAACAGAGAAGAAAAACACCTGCATTAATTTAATTTTATAACAAAGCCTCTTAATGTCATTAATTTGTTCAGAATTCAGCTATCAAG